CCTAGTACTAAAAGATCACTATATAATAGACTGATACTTGGAATTGGTAGTCTGCTTATTTCTAGACGTAGTAATACAACTTCATTAAAGGGCTGTCGGCTTGAATGTTGGCAAAGCACTATTCAAGATTGATATCCGAAAGGGCCGCATTACTTCCAAGGCCTAGCACTACAAGGTCACTGTTAAACAGGTTAAAATTTGACTGTCTGTTTGACGTGTGTGATAACAAGTCCCTTGATCTTCGATTGGATTAGATGCATTTGAAATTTGTACTAGATTAGGATTAGATTTTGATTAGATTTGATTGGATTAGATTAAAATCAGATTCAGATGAGACTAATATGAGTTGGAGACGAGATAAGCCTAGATTATATGAAATAACATCAGGAATTACATTATAGCATTAGATGAGTGTACAGTGAATTAGATATGGAATTTTCTGTATACTTGGTTGGGTTAGATTAGATAATATGCATTGGACTGGAAAAACTGGATACAGTTGGATTCGTTCTGGGCTATGTTAGATTAAATATTATTATTTACATGTAATTATGAATATTAGGTTTGATGAGATATGAATGGATGAGATACGAATATATTCCATTGAATTAGATGGAATGATTAAATTAGGATTAGATTAGGATGAAGATGGGCATTTTGATGAGACAGAACGGAAGTGGTATTACATGAGGTAGATCAATTTTAAAATTAGATGAGATTAGGAATGAGATTTCTTCATATTTACTTATAATTAGATAGATTAGATTTGGATTTAATAAGGTAAAGATTAAAATGAAATTAAGATTAAATAAACTTAAGTTTAAGATTTGATGAGAGTAAGCTGGACGACATAAAATTGAATTGGAATTCATGAGATCACATCGCATTACATTACATTACATTATTTTGAGTTAGATTGGGCCTAAATCCAGGATATCCTAAATTTAGGAAAAGATTTGAATAGGATTTTGATTAGATTTGATTGGCTGCCATTGGATGAAATTACATTTGTTTGTATTAAATTAAGATTAAGGTGAGATTAAGATTAAAATATGTTAGATTTGATCAGACAAATTAAGATGAAATGGATGAGAAGATATGAGATTGAATAGGATTAAATTCAAATTGATTTAATTTATCTTCATTTAATTCAATATAATTTAACAGCACGAAGTGGTATGATATTATTTTCTAACATTATTACATATTTTAAGCGATAATAAACGTTTATATAAGGAATGGGGATGTTTAAAGTTTGAATGCCCAGTAACACAAGAATTACATAAACTGTATAACTATGGGTGTAGAAATTGTCTTCAGAAAGGCCACTCGAAACATGAGCATGAAAATTGTCATGAAATCATTTTTGGCAAATGAAAACGACATCAGTGAGACTCGAATTAAGATGTGAAATTTGCATTCTCAGTGTTCAACGGATACAATTAAAAATATGTCTTGTATAATTTAGAAAACTGTTTTCAGCTTGAAGAAAAAACCCCTTCCAGCTTAAAAAGATTTGTAGCATGTGTGATTTGATAAGTAGTCGTGGAATTTGGACTTAAAAAAGTAGTAATATGTTAATTAGCTCCAATGGACTCGCCAGGAGAGGCCACCCCCTTTACCAAGGGTTAAAATTGTACCCAGTCCCGACGTGTTCACGATAACAAAGCTATCTTATTTTCTGTCATCATGTACCTAGAGTTGATAGTTATTTCCATTTAGGTTGTGTAATTACGGTATCTTTTTGCATATGAGCATGCATATTAAGCATTTAACAGAAATATTCAGTCATTAATTTTTGCCTCACTGTTTATGCATCTTTTCTCTTCAAAGTATCTCAAAATATGGAGGGCCTGACTTTCCGATCCTAGCAGAATCTTTCTCAATGGCAAAAATCAAGTATGAGAACCTTTTGAAATCCTTTTCGAGTTAAGCGTATTTAAAGTGCATTCTTGTAACATATAAGAATTGCCCAATCATTTCTGTAAGAGTGTGGACACACTGTGACCTACATCAGGGAAGATACTGTTCAGTTTGAATGTTTTCATGTTCAAATTTTGAACCCCAAATTTGCTCTGTGAAAACATTTTTTTAAAAGGTTGCTCGCAGGATTACCGCTATACTTACACATTAATGAATCGCGAAAGAAATGAAAATTTCCGATTGCAAACTACAAAAAAACTCGGGTTTTTGTGCAAAAATCGGCACAACGTTGATTTCAGTACCTTGTTTTACATTACGGTTTTGTCATGAAATTGGAGGTTTCATTGGCATAAAGCCACGCAGACTCCAAACGTCATATTAAAATAACAAAGCAAACTGAAACACAAGGGTCAATTGCAAGGGTTGAAGTAAAATAACTCTGTTATATGGGTTAGTTCTCTTGCATTCTGGTAACACTGCAAATTTGAGTAAACACACGGAAATTTTGTGTATTCAAGTGACTAATTTTTCACCCTCCAAACCAGCGTGCTCAATCCCGTGCTTTTTAATTTGCTAGCATTATTTTCTAAATGTTTTAGAGGCCATTTTACTGTAGGTGTTAAATATTTTGGATTGGCAAAAAATGGATTCCCCAGTCCATATGTTCCCACGTGCCAATTGTGTAGCAGCACGAACACACACCCCACCCACGATGAAAACAAATGGCAATTCATTCGTACTTGTCAATCACTTACATTATATAGAAATAGGAGCCTTTTAAGGGTTGTGGAATTTTTAGTTGTTGGATGTGCTTTCATACGCATTCCTATTTCCGACGCAAAAATGCATGCGGTTTCTGACATGCTAAAGCTTAACCTCGGTAGAACAATGTAAATTGATTGACTGTTTGGTACTGGCGTCACCCACGTGCCAAGACTAATTACGATTACAAAAGTCGCGTGGAACGGCATTCACCCTTCGTGTCAATCACCACGAGGAGGCACGTGTGACTTATCGACCCAAATACCGTTAATCACGAAATGGGACAAAAAAAGGTCACTCTCTACAAAGTACGGAACTAGTTTTCGGCTTGGTGTCGCAGAACTGGTTAACAAACTTTGGAAATTTTCCAAAATGTTGCACAATTATGGTTAAACCACCCGAAGAAAAAACAATGGTCGGTGATGACGTCCCCGAAGGACGTAAGAGAAGGTTACAGAAAGATTTTGTTGTAATCAGTAATGAGATTTAGTTGTCAATAAATGTCTTTCTATAGATGTATTAAATGACGAACTTCAGACAGCTCATACATTTTCAGGCTAATGTCATTAAAAAATCTTTAAAGGCTCATTCGGGTTGATTTTAAATTGAATGATCCCATTTATAAAAGCATTCGACATTATTTTGAGTAGTCTGTGGATTCCAAACCAGTGGCTATACTCGTTCAGTCGTTCAGTCTCGTTGCTGTGGCTGCGTTCCATGGTTTATATTCTTTATATTTCTGATAAAAATGGATTTTCCACGATTGTGGCGTAGGTCATGGGGTCCAGGCGGGCTAGTAATTTTTTCCCAAAACGACCGTCCATAAATGACTGTTTGCATCCATAACAGAACCCCCCCCAAAAGAAAAGTGACACGTAGTACTATTTCTATAATGTTAGCGCTTTCGATTTCTTCAGTAAAAAAGAAAAATGCCCCCTTTCTGCTGCATGTTCGAAGGAATGAAAAGATTTATTTAGGGAGTGTAGTGAAGCAAAAACTTAGGGTTTTTCGGTGTGAAAACAATAACCCTGCGGTGTTGTTCCTACCAACTTTTGTTTACTTTTACTTTGAAATTATCGTGATTAAAAGCACAAAGAAAAACGAACAGTGCGATAAATGTGAAAACGTTTCATGATTGTAAGTCATCAAATCTGGGAAAGTATGTTATACGCAAGTGAGCCTTCATAATTACATCCTTGTGTCGTGTACGTATAAGTCGCAGAACAATAAAGTTGCGCAGCGATCATGCAGCTATGACTCATATCTACCATGTAGAGGGTGCACTTTTAACGAGTTTTTGATAGTCTTTGTCCATTTCCTAAAAATTAGTCTATTCCTGGTTTGGAAATTTTCTTGAATAAGCAAACAAACAAGGACTGGTATTTAAATTCATTCAAATCAAAATCAAAGTAAAGCTCATAACTTTAACTGCAGATTTAGTTGTCATCATTTACGTTACTGGGGTCGCGGCTTGAATTAAGTTTCCGGACATACTGTGACCCTGCCTCCAAAATCACTTGGCTGCGGCTTGAAAGTAGACAGACCACTATGGGAACTGGCTGCAGCCATTGCCATACTTGCATGCATAGTTTCTAGCCTCAGCCAAGTCATTTGGACACGTATACAGCCTCGCTCATCATCAGAGATAGACTGGTCCCCCATCCCCCTTCGAAGTCCGAGGACAGATTGAAGGACTAGGAACCAGTTTAAATCGTAAGGGCCGTGAAACATCAAAATGGAAGCCGTTCCGCGTATGTGTATGCTCAGTTTGGAGCTCAAATGGAGCTTGGAAAAAGTGGAATTTGGGCCCAGTCTCAAACAGGTAAGGGCTGTTTGAAATAGCCAGTATTTTGGGCCGTTTTTCTTTATACAAAGGTCACTTAAAAGCTTGGCATTACTTGACATTTCGTAGCGCCTAGCACAGTGTTTAGATCGTGACTATGACTAGTATTATTACTACACTACTATGAGTGTTGACGATTTGTCATGCTTTTGCGAACTTGATGTACTCACAGCACAATTGACTATGCAGTGAAAGGAAGGATTTTACTTTAATACCCCCACTTTGTTGGCCTTTTTTTTCTGTACCTCTTGGAAGAATGATTAAAGAATTAATCAGCCTGCGCCCACATCATACACTTTATTCCTCCATGATTATACTTTTAGGCCCCTATGCCCATAAAAATTATAATAGGGGGCCTAATCGAGTTGCAGAGTGGTAGGTTGGGGAAGGGATATTTAAAACAAAGAGGGGCGGGCTTTTGTAACCCCCCAAAAAGGTGTCCCCGCTTCCGCGTACTTTTGGTTTCCTCTATTCTTTCCCTCCCCCGTACCAATTTGGTCACCGATGTCATGTCACCATGCCAGTACTAACATTATTACCCTGACTACCCATATGTCGTTTTCGAATGGTTTTAAATACATTTTCAGTACATTCAGAATCATTACATGGAAGAGCCTGGCAAATACAATGAAGAAATCAAGCAACTTGACCAACTGCGAGTGGTAAGTGAGACCTTGTCCCTGACGCAGCATTGTGTCTGTGTCTGTCACAGTACATGTTCATGCAGAAGTGGCATGATGCTGGTGTCATTCTGACACTGCGTGCTATCCAAGTTATGCTAGTTTTAGCCATTCAAAATTGAAAACTCATTGAAAAGTCATTTTTCAGAAAACATTGAAATGATTGAACATCTTTCTTCCCCATCATATTGTTCCCCTTTGCATGTTGTGTTCTTTGAACTTGTAATTTACAAACACATGGTTGAAAACATGTACTGTCAATAGATTTTCCCCTAAGAATCACACTTGACTTTTTCATGCGCAGTATGTTAAATTTACATGATACTACATCAAGTGGCTACGTTGCTTGCCTCAATTGGCATATCTTCATATATACATGTATGTTACCTGGTGCAGAGTTTCAATTCCTCATTTGTAAAAATATCTGGCAATATTTGTAAGGTGGAATGCTTCTAGTTACTTACGGCACCAGATCCAAATGATCCACTCGTGCTGCAACCATAATCTGAACTTTATAATGGCTATGGAACATGTATGACATTGCAGTATTAAGTGATGGATTTTATTTTTCAATAATTCTGATATTGAACAAAGCTCATTGAAGTGCTTGGCATGAAACAAATGCTTCCGAAGCAAATCATTCAGAGTGTTGCTGTTAAGTCATTGAAATGCATATTGTAAAACTGCAGCTTTGCTGAATTGCATTTGCAGGTGCATGAAAATTTTTCTTGCTGAATGAAAAAGTGTTGATTTGGCTTGATCAGGTGGTTTAGTTCCTTCAATTTGAAACAAGAAAAAAATCATTATGATATATACATACATGTGTAAATTGGTGGTGAACGTTTAAACTACTATATAGAATGCTACTAACGTGACCCGAGATTTCAATGGTATCAGCACCCTGAAGAAATACTATGGCCAGCTTCACCTGCTGACTAGCCGGTTCCCAATCACAGATGGAGGGGAAGCTGCACCTGTCTTCACATGGTAATTGTTCCATCTTGATGTCTAGAAATTTAAATGCTGTGCAATGTGCAGTTGTCGGAAACAACTCGTTCACCACTCCCTCCCAAAAAAGGCACGGTACATTCATGGCAGCTGTATGGTTCAGATGTTAGTGTACAAAAGGATATTAGTGACATGTTAAATTACAGACATGGTGACATTGATGTAGGTACTTCTTCATATTAGTAATGTGCAACTTGTAATATGTATTGTCCATCGTAATAACTTAAAACAAGATTAACTACAAAGAATGAACCAAAACTATATTGCGGATGGTGTAAACTCACTAAGGTTGAAACACTTTACCTTATGAAGGGACCATTCCAATGACCTAGAGTTCCTCTATTGTGTTGACAGGATTGATACCTTTCATGAGGAGCCATTTTCCCATGCTGATGCCGCCTTTGATCAGAGCTGCATCCTCTACAACCTTGGAGTTCTCCATTCCATCTTGGGAGCTAAGGAGTCTCGGGCCAGTGAAGAGGTTGGTGCAGTCTTTCTTGTTCAGTCCTTGGCAACTGAGTCTTAAAACAGATTAAATTCCAAACTCAGAATTGGAAGCATGTCTTCTATTGTTCTGCTTATTCAAAATATGGCCAACTTATTCATGGGTTATGAGAATTTTACACAGATTTCAAGATTTTACCTAAGCTTTTCACACACAATACATGTTAATAGAAAGTAGGTTTGCGGTAGCACCATGGACGTATCTCTTTTGTGAGTATTTGTGGTTCTGAAAAGAACCAGTGGTACTCGACGTTTCGAACAGTATGCTCTGCTCGTCATCAGGAGAATGATGACGAGCAGTACATGTTGGTGTTTGTACATGTAGCATGTGGCACACCACAGAGCAAGTAAACTTGTTTGACCTTCACATGCTGAAGTTTCAGAACAATTCCTATGGAGTAAAAGTCTTAAGTATACAGGTGTGCATTTAAAGGTACAAGGGAAAATGGGCACCCTATACAATAAAATGTACCATAAAAACCTTTGGACATCATAAGTCATAACTTCTCCCCGTACCTCTTCATTGTCAAAGCTGAATGAAGAGTGAAGAAATTATCACTAACAATTACTGAAATGCATATATTTAATGGTTTTTACTTAAGATTTTTCCCAGAGAAACTTCAAACCTTTCTGCTTTATTGTCTGAGAGATTACTGAGTGATTGTTAATAGTTTGTTGGAAGCACTTGCTCCAATAATTGGGAACCGATTCCATATTTTAGCTATCCAACATTCGGGCTCCTGGTTTGATGGACATCCCTAATCTTGTAAGAAACTTTCTCTTTTCTTTTTAAATATTTTTCACAGGAGATGAAGGTTGCCTGTACTCATTTCCAGTGTGCTGCGGGTGCTTTCAGCTACCTCAAGGACCATTTCCAGAGTTGTATGAGTCCGGATATCTCCTTTGACCTCATGACAATCTACATTAATCTAATGCTGGTATGCTACAGTTTGCAGTGCTTAGAGTGGATAACTTTAAAGCTTTCTCAGTTACTCATCTGCAAATTATCATTAGTTGCATTCTGAGAAAAGTCTCAATGTGACAATCGCTGTCAACTACATGCGGCAGTTTGTAGCATAAAAATCACACCTTAAGACTGAGAAGCCAATTTCATAAAATGGAGTAAAACTTATTGGCATTTGTAAGATTTGTTCAACCCATTTGTCGTACAGATTTGCATTGCATTTAGGAGCAGTTTCTTAAAACCTGGTAGTTTTAGATAAAAACAACTTTTAAAATGACAATCAGTGTTTGTTGTATGATTCCATTAAGGTCACAAAATAGGTCATGAATTATTATGTACACAGAATCTCAAAAATGCTATCAAATTTCTGGTTTCAACCTAGATAAGTTTGGATGATGTTGGACAAACGTCAAGCATAGTTTCCTCATATAGTTAACCA